CAGGCCTCGTGCGCTACGTGGAATGAGTGACACCATCCTTTTAAAAGTTAGAATGCTCATTCTCATTTCTCCTTCATTCCCAATGAGTTGGTAGGGAATATGGGCATTTTCATTTAAATGGGAATGAAAATTTTAAATACATACCAAATATTTCCAAATTATTTATTAATTATCAATTCTAAAAATTAAAAAGTTTTGCATTTCTGCTTCATTCTCTAGCCCAAATATGAGAATGGAATGAACACTACATTCCCACCCATTCCATTCTATTGCTTGCTTCATTCCATTCTCACTTGATCTGGTTCCCACTTACCAAACGAAGCGTCAGTTGAATATTCCGTTATATTTTAATAAATTGTTAAATATTTCATAATGTGCTTAATTATATTTAATTAACTTAATTAAATTTACAAACAACCTCCCTAGTTAGAGATGGTCCACGTGTCATTGCAGCCAAAGCTCTGGATATTTTCATTTGATAGTTTTCGTTGGACCTCCCTCTCTATCACATTAGTTTCCCTTCTAGGATAATCCATCTATTTTGAACTTATTATTGACACTTGAAAGTCTCATTGTGGTCACTGCAGATGAAAGTGTTATTGCTTTGGCAAATGGCTGTCCCGACTTGAGATCCTTAAGCTTGTACTACTGTCACAACATAACTGATAGGGCAATGTATTCACTGGCAGCAAACAGCCGACTGAAAAGCACGCATGAGTTATGGGATTCAGTCCATCTTAAAAGTACTCACAGCAAAGAAAAGGAGGGGCTAATGAACCTCAACGTCAGCCAGTGCACAGCTCTGACCCCTAATGCTGTTCAGGCAGTGTGTGACTCGTTTCCTTCGCTCCACACTTGCCCTGGGAGGCACTCACTCATCATCAGCGGCTGTCTTAGTCTTACATCCGTACACTGTGCTTGTGCAGTCCAGGCTCATCATCGTGGTGGTGGAGTCGGTGCTCTCTGATAATGTTTATTGATGGGGGAGATAATATTAGAGGTCCTCTAGAGAAGAATCATGTGCAAAAGGATCTGATATGCCCTTCAGCGCAAATTTTATAGTCCATGTCATTTCTTGATGGGTTAACTACAAAGAGACCATTGTGCTATTGTCCAATCACGGACAGATGCTTTGTAGTACTATTGTTGCAGATAGGCCTCCTATACTATTGCCCAATCATGGAAACTCTAAAGGGAATTTTAGCACCCGTGTGTTGGGCAACTTATTAAAAATAGGCCAAGTTTAATTATGGAATGAGTTCTTATGAGAACCAGTTTAGTTGTGGATCAGCTACCTTCGGTCCATAACTGGACCAGGTTAAGCCCTCAAATTCGAACGGAAGAAAAAACCGAGTCGTTTGTGGATTAGTATTTGCCAATGAGAAAACTATAATTGAACTAGGTTCAAAGCCGACCAATTTTAAAAAGTTGCTAAACAGGACCTAATTCTTATGAGGTCTTTGTCCCAGAAGAAGGGAGAGGGTGAGAAGCAAATTTCTAAGTAAAATAGCCAAAAAGTTCCACTCAGGAGGTATCTGCACCCTACAGAACTATACGGGGTTTATCCGCAATTAACCCTTTATTGATTTTCTTTAGAGGACCACTTATAGGAAAAGTTTCTCCTATATTGAGTAGCAATCAGGAGAAATTACACAGGACTTTCAGCCGTACACTGTTATAATGTAGCTGGATGTGTTGTTTCCAGGGAAATGTCTGAATTGAGACGGAGGAACTGCAATGAGTTTGCATGACCTCTTTTGGTTCTGAACCTATGTTTTCATCTGGTGTATAAGCTAGTAACATGGAGAGAGTGTAGATCAGAAACTCCTAAATCATGTATGTTTTCATCTGATGTATATGCGAGTAACACAGACCGAGTATGGTTGAGAAACTCCCGAGTCATGTATGTAAATTATGTTCTCTGTTAACTTCGTATCTCAAATTGTCAAAGTCAAGTATGTAAATTCTGTTCTCTGTTAATTTCGTATCATGTAAATTCTGTTCTCTGTTAACTTCGTATCTCAAATTGTCGAAGTGATGTATGTAAATTCTGTTCTCTGTTAACTTCGTATCTCAAATTGTCAGTTTGTTATCCCTTGGTCAGCTTCGACGGCGGTCATTGTTGATGACTGGGTATGAATATGAACGGCTAAAACTTGGGCTTTGCAGTCGCTTGATCCTAACGTGTTGCAGGAATTAACATGTTCTCTGTTAAGTGGCTTTTTCTTCCTCAGCTTGGATAAATTTAATGAATAGATGCCTGTTATTGGTCATCCATCTTCATCTTGCATTGTCTAAACCCCCGGCGCTCGTTTTGGTTTAGTCTAAAGAAAACTACATGCTTTTGTTGACCCCAAAATAAGGGGGGAAAGCATTCATAATACCTACTTTCGTAATCTGCCGACGCACATCCATTCTCTTCAACTTGTACCCTCTGCAGCCGATGACAAATTTACAAGATCTAGACAGACACAGTCACCCGCTGCAATTGATGTGAAGACAGTGAAATCTCAAGGCGTACAGTAGTCAAGTCATGAGACAGCAAGGAGACGACTGAAATCTCAGGGTATACAGTAGTCAACTCATAGAAAGGTAACTAAGTTGATAAAATACAGAGGCGGCATGATAATAGTACACCTAGTCGGAAACTTGATATAAACAACGATAGTGTATAAACTATATAATTGAACAACTGAAACAATAAATTATATTACGACCACTTTTCAACATCATTGTCAAACCCCATGCCACCAAGCAATAGATGAGGAAACGAGAAGCATGGGCTTCACAGCCTTTGGACACGAAAGAGGCAGAAATCAGCAGCAAGCATGCGGTATCAGCTTTACAAGAAGTGCTGAGATTACAGATTTATCAGCAGCAACCACTTGTGGCAGCATCAGCTTGAGGTTGGCTCTGCTTAAATATGTTCTTCTTTTTCACACTTGCTGAACCTTCTGCCAAAAGGCTTGGTGTATCTAAGATCTGCACCATGACCAATCAAGTATTACTTATCTCGCCAAATAATCATAGACATCTTGCATAAAAAGAAGACAGTAACTTGCATATCTAGGATTGGAACAAGGGTTAATTGTGGATAGACAGCCAATGCTATTGCCTGATGGAGGCCATAGACTCCCTGTTGCTATCGGTGCAGATAGACCTTCCGTACAATTCGTCCAAGTTGGATAGAGCCCCAGAAACAAACCTTTTCCCAGAAACAAACCTTTTTCTTAGCGAAAAGAATCACTCAAGGGGTCTTAACCGCACCAATAGAATTACAGCAGGTCTATCCTCAATTGGGCGATAATAATGGGTCTAGCCACATTATCCCTATACACAATATCACATCTATCATAGTAGATGTGTAGATGAGAGATGGTTTAACATTCGCAAGCGTACAATCAAAGCATAGATTCCATGCTGCATATCAAAGATATAAATAAAAGAAGATCTGCCCTATTTAAGAGGTAGATGACATATAATTTAACAATCACAGACTACAGTAGAAGCATAAATCCTATGCACGTGTTCTAGAAACAATAAGCAAGCTAGATATGCCTTACCATGTTTACATAACCACTTTAGGATTAGATGACAGATTCCCACATATTCGTCCCTAAACAAGAACAAAGGAAGTGGATGATAGCTAGACGGTCCACAAGTTATGTGGAGTATACTTCTTCCTGAACCCCCTACGAGCATATATGTAGAGCAACAAGTAAAATCATATCCCCAGGCACTGTTTTAAAAAGCCTCCGCCTAGACGTACGCCTAGACCTAGGCGGTACCTTGACCGTCTAAGTCTGCCCACCTAGATTTTGGGAGTGTTTAGGGGAGCATTGTCAGCTGATGTGGACTGCATCCTTTAGGCCTTGATCGTGATTTTCTGTATTGCAGACTCCATGTCCTCCAACCTCCTTCAAACTCGTTTAATCTCCAAATATGAACACTTTCACTACCTCCTCCGAGCTTCAACAGAATGTCCTCGACAACCACTTAAATGAACAAGAAAATCCACCTAGACACCAGTCCAGCACAAGCTTTCTATAACATTAACATTTACTATCAATTATTGTAATTAAAAAATAAAAAAGAAAATCTCCTAAGTTCTAGGCAACGAACCAAACACCTAGGCCTCTTAGCGCTTTCTATAACCTTGTTAATTATTATTTTGGCTATTTAGCATTTAAGTATGCATGATTTATTGTAGATCTAGCATTGGTATCTATTTTTTGTAAATTTATATGAATTTAATATATATTTTTATCAATTATTATAAAAAAATAGCCAACCGCCTAGGTGTAAGCTTAGGCGTTTAGGCGCTACCTCAAACACCTAGTCCGTCTAGCGCCTTCTGTGACATTGTCCTTGGGTTGACCTAAACACACCGTCACACGGACACACCCACTCAATTGGTTGGGTTAGGTTTCATATAAAACCCAATAGCTACTAAGCATGGATGTGTTGGTCTACGTTACCATACCCATAAACATATCTAGCAATGCCCTATTTCGCATTTTCACAACACGATTCTGTTGCAAAGTATAGGATATCCTTGGCTGGCTGACAGATCATCGCATACTGATTTTCAAGCTCACTGAGATCAGTACTTAAAAAACAATCCGAGGCTTAAGAAATCAAGCACATGTATCCATCTCGGAAATAATCATCCAAGGAGCTAATGAAATAGGGTGCATCACAACATGCCTTTATGTTGACTGGTCCACATGTAACAGTACTAATTGCAGTGGAGTGATTGATCTATGTCTTCCAAATAACTTTGTAGTGGTTTCCTATGGTCTGTTCGTAGATGGACATCCACCAGGGGGTCAAGAAGCCCACTCCTGATGAGCCT